TACACGTTCGATAGACGGACAGGACTAAAGTTACCCCTGAGTAAGGTGGTAACCATCGGTCCTATCGTTTGGTGTTCAAAACGAATACCCTGAACCCAGGGGAAGCGTCACGCCCACGTCGCTCGACAAACGGCTACGTCTGCTCACGTAGCAGACCCCACATCAGACTGAAAACTCATCTCTTTCGACTCCACTTTGAGCGATAGAATTACTAACAAAGCACTTATATACTAATAAAGGGCTGGCTTATCTAAAGCCGATGTACTTATATGATTCTGTTTTCTTCAAGGTTGTATCTTCCTGGTCGAATTTACGTATTGTAAGTCGCTTTGGATAAAAGCGTCAGCTAAATGCAATGTAATGTAATGTAATGTAATATATTCAAAAGTGAGGGACTGACATGCTTAATTAGCAGCCACAATGTGTGTGTGTGTGTGTGTGTGTGTGTGTGTGTGTGTGTGTGTGTGTGTGTGTGTGTGTGTGTGTGTGTGTGTGTGTGTATTTGTGTGTGTGTGGGCATCTTTGGCAGCCTCTCATTAACATATTGTAAATGTTCTGAGCTGCACTGCAGACAAAGGAGGGGAGATAGGTAAGGAGCGACGGAGGGAGGGAAAGAGGGAGAAGGAGAGAGTATGCTTTCGTAAAAATAACAAATTGCCTCTCATTTGATTACTTGCCTGTCTTCTCTCTCCCTCTCAGATTGTATAACAGCCATTCATATCCAGAGAGGGATCCCTGCTGTTTCTGCAACCGTTTCATCTCTGCATTTCACTTTCTCTTTCTGCCTCTTTCCTACTACCTTGTATTTCAATTTCTTCCCACCTCATTCTGCCTTTCTCACCTCTTCACTTTCCCAGTCTGTTTTCCTTTCCCTACACTCATACTTTCTGTCTTACAGTTCCATATCTTTCTTTTCATCGTGTCGTTATTGTTCTCCACCTCATTTAATCCTTTCTATTTTCTTTCTTTCTATTATTCTAATTCACCATTGCTTTAATTCTCTCCCCCTCTCTCTTTCTTTTTCTTTGACTGCATCATTGAGCAGAATACAGATTAGATGAACAGCCTCTGCAAATGTTTTCACGCATACAGGAATAATGAGGGTGATTAAATTGCCAAATATGATTTCAGCACACTCATTTTTCTGCTATATTTGGTTTTAAGAGATATGAGTAACAGTGTTTACGATGGTGATGAAAATTATGACGATGATGGTGGTGGTGATGATGATGATGATCTACACTAAGTTTGTGGTAACCCGACCTATGGGAGTGTCAGTATCAGCTGACTGCTGTTTTGTACATTATATTGTATTTTAACAGATTTTAAAACAGATTTCCACAGATTGGATAAAATAGATTTTCTTGTGGTTTCCACTCTAATACATACTTCAAAATCTTGTCTTGTTTCCTGCTGAAAAAGTAAACTGTTCACAGTTTTCAGTCCCTTCCTGGTAAGAATATGCCTTTACTGGTGTGACCAAATCCTTTTGGTCAGTTTTAGTGCCAGCTATGAAAGCAGGATCCTGACAGTGCACGGTGTGGTGCAGAGGACGAAGCAGGAGGAATACATTATCAGAACCAGGAATACAGTATGTATCGGCAGATTGCGACTCCGCTTTTTCGGGGCGTTCCTCTGTGACAAGAGGCAGCGTGAGTACTGGAACACATGTAATTACGTGCCGTAACAAGTAGCAAAATTGCACTGCTCAGCCTGATGTGTATTCGGGTTCAGTTGGAGCCAGAAAATTACCACAAAAATGTCAATGCAAATTACAATGACTGCGCCACCACTGCCTTTGTGTGAGGACACAATTAGGGCCTCAGTCTGATTGTACTACACTGCTGCTGGCTTGACATGACCAACCCGAAGGAACTCAATTGGTAAGTGGAGCAAATGTTGGAAAAAAACCACATTTTAATGTGACAATGACATGATTGCTTGAAGAAGAAGCTCCCTGACCATCTCTACCAACCCATCAGCTGTCTGACCTGAACGAGGTAGCCACAATTACATTTACAGTAAATTACAGTTGTTAGTTTTTTTTACTGACAGACACTTTGCCATGACATTTTGTCCCTTTTTCAACTTGAGCAAAGAAAGTGTGTTACTGCACAACACCAGTTCAAAAGCATTTCCAGCAACCAAGTGGAAATGCCAAGAGGCTAAAAAATATCTTGAGATATAGCGAGTATCTCATGATTTGCTGAGGTAGAAAATTGGTGTACAATAGAAACAGATTAAGCAACTGTATGATTATCTACATGAACAAATGATACTTCAACGCACACTAGAGCATAGCTCATCTGAAGGGATGTAAAACTACAGGAGCAAACAAGAAGTATAGAACTATCCTATTTCCTTTGATTCTGTCTACAGTGCTTTCCTTGTTTCAGCTGAGACAATCTCTCTATTTATCACGGACCACCCTCTTCTTCTGTAATGTTGCAAACTACTTAAGAATTAAGATATGGCACCACATACTGCTTACTTAGATTAAATAACTTTTTGCCAATTATCTCAAAATGTGCGATTCATTTGAAACCTAGCTATAGTTCCTTTGGAAGGTGTGCCACCACGATAATCTACACCCTCCCCAAGCCTGAGCTCACTGACCTGGACACGGGGGTGACGTAATTTCCCGGGAAGACACCGGAGGCAGCAGTTCTCAGCGAGGTGCCTTTGAACCACCCGTCTTGGCACTTCTCTGTCACCCGATACATCTCCCCTTTCCTAAGTTCAAGCTCGTCTGCCTTCTGGGGCTTGTAGGCGTATAAAGCCAGATATCTGTGGAACAAAGGCAACAGACACAATGTAAAAGTAAGGAAAAATAAAGAAACCCTTTCAAGTCAGCAGGAAATCTCCGAAAACTGCTCATTAAATCCCCATCATTTCTCATGTGGGTTATTCCTAATGTGCATTATGCAAAGTAAAATCAAATGAATGAATAACTAAACAAATAAATGAAAATGAGCAAATCAATCATTTAGAAAAGCAACTGTTAGGAGGGAGGAGAGAACACCAAACTCCAAAGGTCTTTAACTTGAATCAGAGGAAAATAACAGCTTTAGTATATAAAAAATGGCTCACAAATATTCATTAATAATCTCTCTAGAAGTGTTTATTTTATATATCTCTTTTTTAGGTGTTTGATGTACAGTGCAGAGGAGGAGAAACTGCACAATGTCGATGCAGCACCTACTCCTTCAGAAAGCAGCCCTACAGTAGGATCTGTGTCAGCTCAAAGAGAGGAGCTGTGGAGGCTGTTCCTCCCACCATATACCATCCTTTTCCCCAGAGTGGGAAAGCAACTGTAGGTGGCAACAGTAAATATGAGAGATAGTAGGAAATCAGTAATTGGTCTCCATCAGCATTTGAAAATAATTCCATTCAAACAGCAACAACAAAACGCCCTTTAAAGTTTATTTTGTGGGGGAGGACAAGTTAAGACAAGCTTATTTCAGTAAATCAGGATTGTTTTCTGAATCCAATACTAAACTATATATCTACTATATCGACTTTGTTACCTTGGACTACAGTCTCCTTGATAGTTTTAACCTGGTGACTATGCAAAAGAATGAGGCCTTTGGAGTTATTATATGGAAATCCCTAAATACTAGATTGTTCCTATTTGTACTGCAATTTTAATTTATAACATGACCAATTTCCCCAAAAATGTATGTATAAATGTATACAAAATGAATAGTACCAGTTGACCAAAATCAGGGGCTTTTTGTGTTATATGATATTTGGAATAAATGATGCCCTTGAACTATAACAAAAGACATTGTAAAAATATCAGAATCAGAGGCTCATATATCAAATCTAAGATGTATGACGGTTTAATGTTGCAGTGTGGTCTGTGATTTATACAATTCTCAAGGAGAATTCAAATCATTTCTCTTGGAGGTTTTAATGTGACCACCAGAGGCTGCCTCAATGATTTTCCCTCCCATATTGTGTGCTGTCCCATGAATGGGAAATTAATAACCCCATGTTTACCTGTCTGCTCACAGGTACGCTGATAAATGCAGAATTTAGCATCCACTACATGTGAGACTGTGTTCATGAGTGGTGCCTCCGCGTTAACATATAAATAAGTTTCTGGTCCCAGCAGGATGTTAGTGGCAGGCTCACGACAGAAGACGATAAGACCGCAGAGTAAACAAGCCCTATATGCGCTGATTCCCCGTTGCCATGGTAACAGATGTGGGGACCGTCTCCCGTCTTTCCATGGCAACAGGAATAGTTGCCAGGTCAAGATGGAAACGTCCGACCTCATCAGCGGAACAAGCCTACTCCGGACGTTTGTGTGTGTGTGTGTATGTGTACAGAGCGCTATTTGGAAAGTGATATAATTAAAGCTGACAATGTTGCAGGCAGGATCCCAGTATACAGTTAATAGTATACATCACACACACATGTGCACACACCCACACCCACACCCCCACACCCACACCCACACACACACACACACACACCCCCGCGCCCGCGCACGCGCACACGCACACACCCCCGCGCCCGCGCCCGCGCACACGCACACGCACACGCACACGCACACACACACACACACACACACACACACACACACACACACTTGTACTTCTATACTGGTGAGGACCCTCCTGGCCCATAAACCTAATTCCCACGTTGGAAAAAGTGATTACTGACCTCATGTCCTCACTTTCCAAAAATATCCCAAAATGTCCTTACTCTCAAGGTCTAAAACTCGAATAGGTAGAATTACAAGGGCACAAACACACACTCACCTTGAAGATACCTGTGTGTTTCTGGCAGTTACCTGGTAGATTAATTAGGAGGTAAATTATAGAACAAGTCTTGCTCAGCGTTGGCGCCTCACCAGCCATCTGGATGTGACTGGTGTGGTTAGATTTCCACCAGAATTGAATTGTGTTGGTATGTGTCAGGTGGTTTTCACTCTTAATCCATTCACCAAATGATAAGATAAGATCATTTAAGTCACTGGGACAGCTTCCAAGCAAACGCTACAATGCTTCGTAATACCCATCTATTGTAAATAAAATGTGTAAGAGGTTTGTAATATTTTAGCAGATTTGGAAAAATAAGGTTGAAAATAATAATAAGTTATGTAATCGCAACATCTTTTCTTTCATGTCATCCTCATCTCTCTCTTACCCGTGTGTATTAGGGCCGGACAGTACATTGGTATGACACAGTTGAAGCCTGGCATGATTTTTTATTTTACCTACAATGGCTGAGGAAATAGTTTTAAGAAAAGGTGATGAACTAGCTTTTCCCGGGGCTCTTCCCTATGAAAGCAAATCACAGCTGTACAACGAAATGTATTGTGAGTGTAAGGGATGGCTGAGCTGTTGAAAGCCTTGTTATGAAACACTGATGTAAGCATCAACTCAACGGAGGGCACGGTGTGTGATGGTATTTTTCCTTTCTGAGGGGGATTTGATCGTTGACCAGTGGAGGAGTAAATGTGGTTGCAGAGATGGTGGAAAGTGGCCAATAACTCTGGGCACAAAAGAGGAAATATTTTAAACGTTGCCAGGAGGCAGGTTTAGAAATCATGCTTGGATCTCAGGGCTCGTATCCACTCGGGTGGAAAACAGAAAGGGGGAAGAAGGAGGGGTCGCAGGTGGGAGAGCTGACAGCACCCTGAGGTGTACTCACATGTTGAGTGGCAGCTGCACCTTAGCGTGGGCCAGCAACTCAGAGGTTATGGATGCCACTTTGGGGGGCACCAGTACCCCTGCCAAGGAGGGAGAGGGACCCGGGTGAGATGCATCCTACAGACACACAGAGAGATACAAATCAGGTGGCTTCCATTTAAAAGAGAACATTACTCCAATATATGCCAGCAGCGTTTCCAGCTTTTCAGTATGCATCCTGGGTGTTATTCAAAAACGCATTTAACCCAGGTGTGAATGCATCCAGAGGCAATGAATGCAGAAGCAATGTGTCTCCAGTTTCCAGCTATCAGAAAGAGCAATGATGTTAGGCACATCCAACTGTCAGAGTTTGTGATAGGGGAAAAGTTAATAAAATATCTAGTGGAGAGGGGACACCTGCATGTTTACTGCATATTTAAAGCATATTTTTTAGAGCCAAACCAAGAAATAAGCTGGGCTCAAACGAGGCGTACTGCAAATACTGTTGATCCAAATCAGCGTATACATGTTGACAGGAAATTGCAATACAAAATGTCAAGTTTATCCATATACTAAATACATAATAGAGGAGGAAATTAAATAATTCATTTAGGTGACACATTTAAGTACAGTTATAATGTACCTATCCTTCAGTATTTCTCATATATTTTCTTTTCATATTTAGATTAAAATAAGTAAATTAAATCAGCTCAATTTTCACTAATAACATTTGTGAAATGCTGCTTAGCAAAAATAACAAAGGAGCCAACCTTCAGGATATTTCCTTTCCCATACATACTGTATATTAATGTAGACTAATTGCCTGACGTTTCAGTTTGTGCAGTAATGGCTTGTTTTAAAATGAAATAAAGCCTAATTTATGCCCTTATTGGCACTGTGTCAACCCGGAAAACATTGCAGGTTTAAAATAACATATCATTATATATTGTATATGGTTGAATCAATCTGCAGAACCCTATAATGGTGATAATCTGTTAGAGAGGACTGATGTCTTGTTTTGATGGCCTACATGTGTGACAAACTGGACTCATACATGTCCATAATCCAAACATATTAAGCAGGAAAATAGTTTTTCAGATATGTAAATTGCTATTAAGATAAAAAAAATGTTTTTACATTTCATTTAATTGTTGTATGCATTTTTTTTCACATACTGTATTTGATTAGTCAAATGGTCAAATGTAGCCACATACGGCCTGAAAATAATTGAAGTACTGCAATGCTTGTGTATATACTTCACACACTTTGACTCAAGTTTGAATGCACAAACTTTACATTTACACTGAAGTATCTTTATTTAATTTCAAAAATATGTAATTAACATCACTGCTTCATATAAACACTCATAACAGTATGTGTGTGTGTGTGTGTGTGTGTGTGTGTGTGTGTGTGTGTGTGTGTGTGTGTGTGTGTGTGTGTGTGTGCGTGTGTATGTATGTATGTGTGTGTGTGTACCTGTATGCGTGCAGCAGCTCGGGGGTCCGAAGAGCTGATGAGGACAGGGTGGGAGATCTCCATGCTGTGTCTGTTGTTGAGTTGCGCGGCCCTCTGGTTGACTGACAACGCGGAGAACGAATGCCTCTTCTTGGCGTTCTTCTTCCCTTCGCCTCTCCGGTGGCCATTTCCGTTGGACGGCGAGGCGCTGGGGGAGGGACCAGGAGAGCAGGGACCCAACGGGGCTGGCTCTGAGCTGGGACCTGGACCGTTAGTCAACGTGGGCTTGTCGATTTCCATCAACTGCTTCGCTGTTTCATTTAACTGAGAGGAGAGGAAGAGGAGAAGCAGGTGGTTGACAGATCAGAGAGCGAGGAGAGCGGGAGGACAAGAGAGAAGAGAGGTGTTACATTTCAGTCCTTAGTGGTTCACATCCAGAACAAGTGTTTGTGGCCTTTCCTCGCTGGTTTTTGTTGGCAGCTTTTCAAAAACGAGCAGCATTACAATCATCACTTACAACAGCTGGCCCAGTGAGACTGTGTAAAACAAATTGTCTGCTTTTGTCAAAAAGAACTCCCACGCACAACATAACGAAACATGAGCATCCCGTTCTTTCCCACCTAACTTTGGTTTAATTAATGCTTAGATGAATGCATTAATTAATGCTTTAGAACAAAGTAATGTTGTTGTACCTATAAGAATGTCAAGATGTAAGATATTAACACCCTTTAAATCAATGCATTTCTATCAAATGCAGTCACCAAATCACAAGCAGACGCACTCAAAATAGCATATTTGAAAGCTTAAGGAATGAGATTATGCAACACACTGCACATCTAAGCAAAAAGGAAAATCTCTAATTTTACGCTTTCCTAATGAGGTTTTTATCCACAACAATGCTAATTGACTGTTAGGAATATGTTTTTGCTTTTATCATTGCCCCAACACATGTAAGAAGTAAACATTTCCTCCAGCAAAGAGTCCATAATTAGTTGTATTTATTACATGATCTGGTCACAGATCTGGATTATAATAATATGGTGGGCTGTTTTTTGTTGTTGTTAGAAACTGCTGAGGAGTTTAAGGTACCAAAGCTCCCTCTGTCACTGTACGTTGACATGACAATATTAATTATAGTAATTTAATAGTAAATGAAAAGTATGTCAGGCACTTTACAAAGCTTTGTAGATCCAAACAAGTGTGAGCACCATCATTTAAAATGTGTGTCTGGCATTTTTAATTGTTTGTGCTCTGTTAAAAAGGACAGTTCACATGGCACCGGATGTAAACAATACTGGCAATAAAGACATTGATTTGGGGTTTTCAAAAGTAACGATATTTCTAGTTATAATAGATTTGAGAGATGTCACATATCTGTATCTAATGTCTCAGACACTCTGCAACTCACACCAAAACAAGATAGGTTGATGAATAGCACAAGAGGCAAGAGGACATATACGTATTTGTGATCTTCTGTTCTCTATGTGATCCTCATTTGCGGTCTGTGATGGGGATCAGATAATTTCCTCACTTCCAAAATGAATTACTGGTGTAGTACATAACACCGTTTAATTCCATGTGTAATTTTAGCAAGCTAGAGCTCAGACTTTTCTTATCAGAGTGGAGTGAAAATAAAGTTGTTAAAATAAAAGGATGGATGTTCCATACACATACAGATAAGCAGCATGTTGCAATAACTTATAAAAGCTGAACAATCCCCTATATAGCTATCACACAACGTGATGCTTTAGTGTTTTTCTGCCCTGTGGCTGAGAGCATGTCTTGGTTGTAAATGGAAAAACAGTCAGCGTGTTGACAATTATGGGACTTTGCGGTAGTTTAGCTAGGTTCAGAAGCAACCTGGCGCTCATTAATTCTGCTCACTCCAACACTCACACTGCTCCTCAATGTTCCCCAACTACCTGCTGCTTGCAATTTAACCTCCTCTGCCTCATTCAGCAGTACCGTTTTGGTGTGTTTTTCAAGACACTTTTTTATGTTATGTGCTAAGGATCATCCATGTTGTATCAGGCTTTGCTGGGCTCAGGGATAGTTGGTGTGAAAATGGCTGATATTTGTTTCAGAGCATACTTAAATAAATTATGCAACATGGTACATACATGTTATATACAATAACATCAGAGGAAAGATATTTCTTAATACTCTATAATTACCTCTGCACGGTGTTAAAACCTTGTCTCTACAGAGGAAAAAGCAAGCATATAAAGGAAATATGTTTAACTCAAGGCTTAATATGCGGATTCACTAAAAGAATCCGCACACAGGCCAATGTGAAAACAGGGACACATAAACTGTCACATAAATAGACAAAATCTTCAGTCCTCTAATGTAAAATCCTGTCTGCTTAGCGTAACGTCAAACTCCTGAACTATCCCTGGAGACAAAGTTTAGCATTTCTTTTTTTTTTACGAATGTGTGTGTTTGTGTGTTCGAGGCAGAAAGAGAGAGAGTGGACACGACTGACCCGTCTGGTATCAGCGTTGGTGATGTTTCATTTACATATTAATAGATATGCTAATCAATGCCAAATCATATGCTAATAAGCATGATGGATTGATGCTGCAGATACAACTCAGTTTGTTCTCATGAGGCGGACTAGAGGTCGGACACACATGCGCGCGCGCGCGCACACACACACACACACACACGCACACACGCGCACACACACACACACACACACACACACACACACACACACACACACACACACACACACACACACACACACACACACACACACACACACACACACACGCACACACAAATGACTGCTAAGGAAGTTTCTCTTTAACAACCACTGCTATATTGCCTGGTCATGCTGCAGTAAAGGACACAAGGGAGTGTGTGTGTGTGTGTGTGTGTGTGTGTGTGTGTGTGTGTGTGTGTGTGTGTGTGTGTGTGTGTGTGTGTGTGTGTGTGTGTGTGTGTGTGTGTGTGTGTAAGAGAGAGAGATGTTGAGACAATTATTCGCTTGCTGATTTGGGCCGGATGAAATCTCCAAGGTCATCTATTTTGTGTTGCGCTAACTGTACTCTCCGTTCTGTGAGTCTTTTGGAGGGAGGGTGCTCTCCCCAGGTATCGCTGAAACTCGAGCTGATGAGCTGATATCTGCAGTGCGAAAAGGGTAAGCCGGCAGGATACATGCATGCTCATGCACACACACACGTACCCAGTGGCAGGTGTGTGCCAACTCCCTCCTGCCGCAGAGACAGGTCGATGCATAAAGTGAAAGAGGGAGAAAGAAAGGGAAACAAAGGGACAGAGGTGTCCTTGACACGGGTTATACCATCTGACCCACATTTATGACAAACCTGTCCACCTGTTCTCCCATCTGCATGACTCAACCTCACATCTGCCCGAACCCATCCACACTCAAAAGCAAACGCATATAAGCTGGCGTCAAATCAACTTATACAACACCATCCAACCCACTCAGCACACCCACCCATATTCAATTCTGGTAGTTTATTTATAGCAACATAAATCCACACCAGGTGTATAAACTCAACAAACCATCCAAACATGTTCCTGATCGAGATACAAATACACCCACACCAGCAGAAACACAAACTCTGAGCGAATCCATCCACGACTGCCAACACATAACTCACATTCAGTACCTACTATCCTGCAATTAGCTTATATAACTAATTCCTGACAAGTTAATTATCTGTTTTATATGTACAGTGAGGATAACGGCTAAAAAGAGTAATTCTGATGCAACACTTCTGTCTCTTTTGGCCATTTAACCACAATACATTTGAGAATAGATTATTAAAAACTGCATGTTTGTTTGACTCAACCTATGTAGGAAAAGCTAATTAATGTTTTTGATTTCAGTAATTTAAGTTATCCTATTGATTCTTTTTTTGCGATAATATCAGAACATTGGGTATTTTAATCAAGGACAAAGCTAAACCAGTACTCTTTGTGTCTTTGTTTCTATTATCATGTATCTAATAGCACAGCCTGGAAAAAAGTGACATCAGCATTGTGCAATATACCAGATCTTCTGTCTTCAATGAGACATTTGTTGGCACAGCGGTGGTCCGGAGGCAGAGGGCTCCAAGAAACCTGTTTCAGCAAAAATAGTTCAACTTGGCTAAAAGTCAGTGCAACATCAACCAGCAATGCAAGGTGCTGGCCAATCGAATATGTGTACAACATTCCCTAATAACTACACACAACTCCATGCAATTATGACCATTTCAGTGGCATCTCTATCAGCAGCAAATCCTTCATCTCAAGTCTGTTGATCCAGAATACAAGCAGTCGGAAATTAAGACAAGAAGATTTACTTCATATCCAGAGAGACACACACACACACACCACAGATCAGCAGCAGTCCAGCTGGGCCCCCCTCATTAAGCTCCCACTGGGTACACACACACACACACACACACACACACACACACACACACACACACACACACACACACACACACACACACACACACACACACACACACACACACACACACACGACATGCCCCTGTAACCCCTGCTGTGTCAGAGTGATGGAGAGCTCTAAATAATTGATGCATCTCTATCTAATAGTAGACCCAGTGTGTCTGTGTGTGTTTGTCCCTGCCTTTCACAGCCTTCTGTACGGCTTAATAGTCATCACCTAAGAGAGCCGTTTGGTCAAATAGCTAATTTCAGCGACATGATTGGGTAGCCAAGAGTCCAAACCCGTTCAGGCTGTCATCCCAGGGAGAGAGATGGTGTGTGTTGAGAGGGCCGCATGATGAAAGGATGGCTAAACAGAAAAGAGAAGCTTGATTGTAGGGATGTGGCTATCAAAGGAAAATAATGTTTGCAGCATGAAGAAGTCCTCTCATTAGTGTCTCTCTTTAATCTCTACGTAAATGAATTTCTCTAAGCCACAGTACATGAATACACAATTCAGAAGACATGTACATTGGGTCTTATTGCTTTGCAAACATGCATCTGTTTTGAATGTGTCATCGTTTGTTTACAACAGGGACACAAGAGAATTAGCTCACACTCAATTTTGTGGTGATGAAATGAAAAGAGACAGCTTACAGAAAACGTAAGGAAGAACACTTTCTTTCCAGTTTCTACCAACTGCTTATTTACTACGGCTTAAAAGCCTTAAATTCGATGCAGAGCAAATTGTGCATGTTTTTTTTCTTCAGTTGCACAGGGATTAAAAGTAAACTATATTTTACTCTTGACAGGCATGGCACTACGAAAGACGGTAAAATGTTTCGGGTGATGGGGGTTTTATCCGTTTACTGAGAGGAAATCCCTTAAAAAAAACTCCACCTCCGCCTGGTTTCAAACAGCATTCATAACGCAATTTATATTCCAGGGGAAATGTTAATATTTGGTAGGGCATTTCTTTAGATAGGTGGACAAACATAGAAAACACAACATCATATCCTCATACTGAAACATCATGTGGAACCTCAATGAAGATAAACATGCAATCTCTATGTTTAAAGGAGGAAAATAAAGTTTATCTTAATATCCATCTTTCTTTTGTGAACCGCAAAAAAGTTTTTGTACATTTTTAATGGATGTTAGCAACATACTGGGAATATTTCCAGTCATACAAACAAAACATTGACATTGTTTCTTGTCAAAGTACACAGAATATACTTTCAACCAAGAAAGAAAATGTTCTCTTCATTTAAAAAGTAGCATTATGATAAATGAAAATACTGTGCTGAAGGTGTTGTGCTGTTGCTTTTACAGCTATTTCTGAAATAACCTGATATGTAAGTGTTTTGTGTGTGTTTCTGTGTAATGTCTGTGGGTTTACCTCCACATAGAGAATGGGGAAGATGCCAATCTTGTCTCCCAGCATGCCTTCTGCCCAGTTCTCGTCCACTCGCCTGATTACTGTCAGTACCTCATCCTGGAGAGAGAGGAAATGAGTATTGAGACTAGGCACATTGTAGGTCCACCATATGTGTTCAAATCCATTTGTATTATAATAAAGTAAAGAAAAGGATAAATAAAGAAATAAAGGCGGCTCTCTGTCTTCATCACTTAAAAAACACTTTATTTATCAGAAACTGGCCAAAACAAAGCATCTCAAACTCTTTGTGAGTGGATGTTTGTGTCTTCTGAAATTGTCTATTGAATCCTTACACGGTTTGAAAAAAACTTTCCTCACCATTTTGTATGTCCATCTGTTGGATTGCTTAACTCAGGAATGATGGCGAATGGTGTTTTGCAAGTTGTAGCTCATTGACTACAAATCGAGCGTGGATATGTTTTTAGATTGATAGGCAGATACTGGTTTCACTTCATTTCAATTGCCTTCATTTTTTATCTTATAATGTTTTCAGCAACATTATATCCGACACACATGGAAACATATTATGTTCTTCATTCAACCCCACCACACACTTCCTTTTCCCTCAGTTGCTCTTCTACTCCCATGCACATGCAGGTTTTGGCTACACCATTAGGGAAGGCAGTGATAATGCTGGTAAATGACTGTTGTTTATTAATCATACTGAGAAATTGTCTCTCGCATGAAAAAACAATATCACAGACACTGGTTTCTGCATGACATCGCACACACAGCGCACCCCAGGGACACTCGTGTCTGTGTGAGTGTATGTCTTTGTGTAATCTTCAATCATGAACCTGATGATTAGATTAGCCCTAAAACTCCGAATGATGTGAACTCTGAAATTCTCGTCATTATCCGTTAATCAGGATGTAAAGCAGAGTGAGTTTGCAACAAGGTATCTATGCTTTGCATTACTGTGATTAGTCCTACAGCACCTACAGTGAAGTGTACTGTACGCTGTAATGTAGTAATCTTCTTTCCTCCACAAACACACAATTACAGGGCAGAGACAGAGAGAGTGTTCAGTCCTCAAACAAATGAGTCTGTGTAACAGCAGGAACAAATTACAAGCTCTTAGGAACAGAAACATACACAGAATACAAATTACTTTTTTACACCAAACCCAACCTGCATAGATACTTTTAAAAAGACTGACAGGTGAATTCACAAAGAAAAGATTACAGCCACTGATCTTGTCTTGGCATGACACACCTTATAAATGCTCTTCAGTTACCACCATCTCCCTGAAGACTGTATTTGCAATGAGGCTCAATTTGGCGTCAAATGTAGACCTACATATCAGCTCATTTAAATCCATGGATAAAGCACAAGAGCACCAAGGAAAGCACTAAGGGGGGTATTTTAATCTTTGCTAGTGCTCTAGAAAATGACACAGTACCGTTATGTCTAATGTGTGCAGGGTAACTGCTGCAGATAAAGCTGTAGAATCCTTTTGTGAATTTGCCCCTGAGTATCTTCTCTGATCTATTCCATCCCTTTGAAAGTATAATTTGTTTGATACCGTATGAAATGATTTTGAACCTACTCTAAACTGATCCATAGAACACCTTCCCCAAATCCAACATGTACACATTATTTTTTTTTTTAATTGGAAGACATCTATATCAAAAGGGACCTGAAGACAGTGACACCTGAAGATAATTGGCATAAATCCTAAGAGCCATCAACTTTAACAGGTGCAGGAGAGACACTGTGCTTGTTAATTAGCAGAGCATGACGCTTTGCTACTTAACAAGCAGCCTTGGTCAGAAAAAGCAAACATAAGGTATGTGCCTACTTTCTTGCACTTTCCAGTTGTCACTTTCCATCTCTCGGGTGATGATGACGCACTACACCTCGCTGAGATCGCTCCCAGTGTTTCACATGTTACCTCTCACATCTGAGATCCAAAACCCCACAAGACCAACAGGATACATGAAGACAAATAGATGCAGGTTCCTGCATTTAGAGAAAAATATACTTATAATTAATACTGGCAACCAGAACAAACATAACATCGCTTTGCTTCACTTAAATGGAAATTCGACCACGGTTGGTGGAATTAGTTTGCAGGTCAGCATGACATAAAAAACCTCACCATCAGTGGCACAACATAATGTATTACTCAAGAAGTGACAATCTAAAGTGTCCTACTAGATGGAGAGGATAGGTTTGTTTGTTTCATGTGGTTGAATATTTATTTTCCAAACCCATTGCAAAAATAAAAATCCACTAATTTTAATGAGCATACATCTTAGATGCCAGAATCTATATTCCAAAAATACTAGAGTACATAAGAGTAGATAAGTAACTATGAGTAATTAAAAAAGCTTTGCAGGCAACAACTGCTACTCTTTGTCAACTCCAACCTCATATCCGACCCACTGACTTGCAGAGCCTTTCATGTCCATAATTTGAAGTTAAGTTGTAAGAACAAAATCAATGTTAAATTAAGGCAAAACTAAAAGTACCAGCTCTTTTCTTGTCCAGAAATATGCAAGCCTTTTTGACTTTAACAGAAAAACAAAAAAGTCTGAAGAAGCTCATGTCCATCAGCCATACTGCACTTGACAATGACACGCACATTACCACCTTACATCAAACAAACACACAAATGGCTAAGGCAGTGAAAAGTAATGTTTCTTTTATGCAGCAATTTTATTTTCCAGTACTGTGTGTGCGATATCAGGACTGACATGATCTTCTATGATGACAACAAAAGGGTCTGGGACTACAACATATTTTAACAGTTTCTATTGACCGAAAATACATTAAAACTTGACTAACAAAACATGATTGGGTTGACTAAATATTTTTTTAAACTAACAAGGTATTCTGACTCAAGACATAAAGTGAAACAAAATTAAACATCTGACAACATGAACCAAATCAGAAATAGAAATTTGAATAAAAGGTTACCAAGTTGCTCTGGTTAACAGTCTGAGAGCCAATCTAAAGGGGCTAGGCAGCAGTAATACATTATTAGAGTCCTACAAAGATCCCCCTGCTTTCAAACCACAGATTAGAGATGCACTTTGTTGCACCTGTTGTTGTAAATTTAGCCATTTCACTAATCTCCCTCCACTGATTCATCCATATTTCACATTATTACCCTTGCAAAGAAGGTTATGTTTGTGGATTGTTTGTTTGTTTTTCAGCAGAAACTACTGGCCTGTGGTTCAAGAAACTTTGTGCAAGGGTGTAGAATGGGCCAAGGGTAAATTCAATTTATTTTGGAGCATACACCCATCATTTTTCCCTTATGGGGAAGGCCTTGGCTAGCATAGGTCTGCACTCTCCATGTGCCGTTCGAATAATATTTGTTCTGTGTTTCATATAAAAGTGAAGTGTGTTTGTGTGTGTACAGCATGCGTGGAGGTGGCTGTGGCTCAGTGGGTAGTGTACTGGACTTCAAATCAGGGGATAGCATGTTTGAGTCCCACTGCAGTCAGCATGTCGTTGTGTCCCTGGGCAAGACACTTCACCCCAAATTGCTCCTGTGGGGATTGTCCACAGTACTGAGTCTTTGGATAAAAGGGTCTAACAAATGACATGTAATCTAATTGTGTGTGTGTGTGTGTGTGTGTGTGTGTGTGTGTTACCTTGCTGAAGGCCAGACAGTCTTTATCCTGATCTTTATCTTTGACCTCAAAGTCGTACAGTGCTTTGCCCTGGGGTGGAGTTTGGCTCAGGGGACGCAGCAACTGGATGTAACTAGCGGGCAAGAAACCATGGCAACTGTTGAGCTCGCCATGGTACCAGTTTTCATCCACCTTGCGTCGCAGGATGATGATGTCACCCTTGGAGAATTGGAGATCGCCTGGTTCCTTTCCTTCGTACGAGTAAAGGGCTTTACCGCAGGGCAGCGCTGGGATACTCTGAAAAACAGAGAGACGTACACTTACTATACAAGCAATTACATATATCAAAACACAGCAGCGAACATATCCCTAGGAGCACCAAGATGTTCTTTGTAGAGTTAACTCTATCCGTTTATTGTCCGACAGTCAGATTAAGGTCTGAATTTTAATAAACCTTGATCTATCTGTTCCACCTATAATTTCTACAAGTAATGTAAATGCTAAATGGACTTTCAGAGTGGTCACAACATTCTCATAAAGTAAAATAAAGCACATAAACATTTCTATACCAAAACATTTCCTCTATTTTACAACTTCTTTCTACTTTTAGTGAGAAATACAGGATATGTATCTCTTTAGGTTTCTTTAAATCCCTTGAACGAAAAGATCTGATATGGAAACAAATGTTTCACAGACCATAACTTGTGTGAGGCAACTGTGCCTAATGGGTTAAATGGTTTTGACCTATTGGAGCGTCAGTGGTGCATGGGCAAGATATGGATCCCTGTAGTGTTAGGCAAATAAATACAAATCCCCCGTAACCTCTGTGAGCTCATAACTCCAGCCAAAAAGGAAAGGAACACTCACATGCTGCAGATTCAGACTCTGTATGTCTCTGGACAGAGCAGATGAGCAGATTACCTCCCACTTAGGTTTCCCTACCAGGAAATCTTCTCCAGCAGCTACTGGACAGAAAGCACTGCTCTTTCTCTAACAGACTGAACCTGGACTGATATACAACATCTCCTTCCAACAGCAATAACCCTCTAACACAGCTCACCTCTGCCCTTTTTTAACCAGATTCAACTCTGAACTTTAACCCTGCAAGTTGTATATATTGTGGTCACACTCTACCTCATTGCATCTAAATTAAAAAAAACTGACTACACTCCACAGTTTAATAATCTAGTTATATAGTTTACTATGTTTAAAAAATGTTTTAACACTACAGTAGGTTGGTCTATTATAGCATATAATATAGACATGCATCTTTCCACTGTTGGTCCTGTTTATTTATGTTTATTTTATTATTTTCTACTTTCAACCAATCTGCAATGGCTTTTTAACATGCTGCTATGACAAAACAATGTCCCAATTTGCGATCAAAAAACCACATCTACCCTAATTAAATCTCCATTAACCCCAAAGAAAGTTCTTCTGTGGTGCACTTCTACTTCAGCTGTATTTTTACTTACAGTCTTTCACAGAGCAATTGTATCTGCATTGTGAGAATTAAAAGCATTGCTGGAAGGTAAAGGATCCCACTGTGTTGAAAGATGCCAGATATACACCTGGCAAACCTTGGGTTGTTCTTTTCCTAAATTCACTGTGAACAGTAGTTTAATTAGGCAGATACTGGTTTCACTTCTATTTAGGAGCTGTGTGTCTTTTGTGCCACCATGTCTGGAACAAATCATTTTTAAGTCTGTTATGTAACAATATAACATATGTTGTATGGGTCTATTTGCATTGTTTTCTTCTCTTTACACTTTTATGTTTGTGCCTTATGTTGAAAGGGATTAAAATGAGGCAGTGAATTCTGAAGTGATCAGTAAATTAATTTGGAGAACAAGGAGAAATAAAGCATGGGGGCAAACTGGTTTTGAAACAGCTCAATACATGGAAAAATCCAATATGTTGCAAACTGTTGGCCCTAGAGACAAATTTGGAAAGCATGGGTAGTTGGGTAAGTGCTCTGAGTTTCGTTTTATTCCCCGGCAGCATGTGACATATGACTGGTTATTAAAATGTTTGCCAGGTAATTGCCGCTGCCACCTTGGGCCAAACACAGTCATTTTGAAAATGCCAGAGCGCTGTGATCCATTACTCCCCAGAGTTGCATCAAAATCAGGTTTGTGGTGTTTTATCACATGTCAAGGACAGACACATACACACATTGACTTATTTACCCTGCACAAAATGATGTTTTAGTGAAGCCTGGCCGGTGTAGAAAATAATGGAAATGTTGCATTGCACTTCATATCATAGATATAACTTCATGTCAAAGTTATTTGAACAACAAGGGCAGGGTTATTTTCACTTTCACTATTAGCTGTTAACTTCTTAACATAATCTGTCCAATCACAGCATAGCAACCATAACTATAGGTTACTTGCATAACCCCAGTTCTCAGAGTAACATGAAGTGAGATGTATCACTATGGGATGCGCCTCATCCGCGGAGCAAACAGAAGCATCAATCTCATTACACCAATCCTGATTGGCAGGTGATCTTGACGTCAGCGTCAGGGAATCCACCCCCTATAAGTAGCTTGCGCTACGCCGCATGCGTCCATCAAAATAAGCACCTCTTCTCGCTTCACCATATCAAGGAGGGCCGTCTGGTGAGACATCTCACTTCATGTTACTCTGAGAACTGGGGTTACGCAAGTAACCTATAGTTTTCATTCATAACACTCCGTTCGATGTCTCACTATGGGATATTGTAGCTCCCGTATTGCCAGACGAGCTTATCTCGAAAATCATCAAACTAACCAGAACTTAACAGGTAGAGCTCTGACTCAACAGGGTGCCCAGCACTGCTCGGGCCACTGGGAGCAGAGACGTCTAGCCTGTAAAAGCGGACAAAATTGAGCGGCGAGGACCAGCTCGCCGCTGCACAAATGTCTTGGATGGAGACACCCTTGAACAAAGCCCAGGATGTAGCCAGACCACGAGTCGAATGAGCACGCAAACCCGAAGGTGCCTGCAGACCCTGACTCGTGTAAGCCAAAGCAATTGCCTCCACAATCCAGTGAGAGAGCCGTTGCTTAGTAACAGGCTTGCCCTTCTGAGGGTTAGCCCAGGACACAAATAGTTGGTCATTACGACGAAACTCTTTTGATCTATCCATATAAGTGCGTAAAGCACGGACTGGACATAGCAAATTTGGCTGCTGTTCCCCGAAGGGACACAGCGGCGAAGGAAATGCCTCAATGTCAATTGGGGTACCTGAACCAACCACCTTAGGATAAAGGCAGGGTTGGGCCTCAGCAACACTCTAGTTTTCCCTGGGGCGAACTAAGGATGTACAGATAGCGCATGAATGTTACTGACTCGCTTGGCGGATGTCAGGGCCAGTAACCGCACTGTCTTCAGTGACAAGTGCTTCATGTCAGCGTCTTCCAGGGGTTCAAATGGGGTATGAGCGAGCCCATCTAAAACCACTGTCCAGTCCATAAGGTCACCAGTGACCTGGAAACGCCTGTGTTTTCCAATTAAGTTCCTGTGGAAATGATAAAAATCACTCCGCCAGGGCAATTGAAAAAAGTGACGTGTGTCCTTCCTAAGACATCATTACTCAAACACCCTCCACTTTCAGTCATAAAGAGACCTAGTGGAGGAAGCTTTCGCACGTCTGGAATTAGTGGTTCATCACCTTCTGCGGGAGACCGGCCACTGTATTCAGATTGTACCGACCTCACGGGCCAGGTCCACAGGACGATTCCAGAGTTTGGGGTATCAGCGCCAGAGGTGGAAACTCGTACAGGAGGACGGAGGCCAATCGTGGCGCGAGCGCAGTCCACACGCCTAACGGGTGCGTTTCGAGTCGCGCATTGAAAACAAATCTGACAGTGAGCATTTTATTTTGATGCGAACAGATCACCTGGCGGCCTCAGGCCGTTAACGCACGCCCACAGCTGGCCTCACGCAATCATTGGATGTTAGAGTCTAAGTCTTGCATATAGTGTGGTACACCTCTGGACAGTAAGTCTGCCCCGAGGTTCAATACCCTGGTACGTGCGCCGCTCTCGGAGAGAGGAGACGGCCGGCAGCTCCAAGAAGATCAGTTTGCGTGCCAGCCATGTGTAACTGGAGAGAGTGCAAACCCCCTTGTTCGGTTTATATACACGATATGTGGTCGTATTGTCCGCCTCATGAGGACATGGTGTCGATCTGAGAAAAGGCAGAAAGCGCGGTTTTTAGGTTGAGAAACACCGCTAAAAGCTCCAGGTAATTTATGTGCGCCCGCTGGACGGTCTCTGCGCTCCAGAGACCCCTCACCGGGCCGACCTTCGTAAATACATCCCCAGCCTGTCAGACCATCGTCCGTGGTGACCACCTTCCGTTGAAAGGGACAGTCCCCATCTATACGCCGCCGTACTAGAAAAGGTCGGGTGGTAGCCAGTGGCACAGTTTCCATTACGCATGCTCGCCGCAAACCATCACTTCTCTGCAACGCCATGACGCGGCGGCGCGGGGTTTTAGTCTTAGAGGCGGTCTACCCCAGCGCTGAAAACTCCCCATGTGTAAGCGGTCCCAGTCGTATGCCAGAATTGGCTGACGCCATGACGCCCCAGTAACGCGCAGGCTATTTCTCGAAGAGGAACATGTTTGCGCGGCTGGAATGACGCGGACAAGCTCTGAAGCACTTTCACTCTTTACGCCGACAAGCGGGCCTGCAAGGGCCCCGAGTTGAAGGCGTAAACCCAGGGAAGAGTACCAGTCCTGTGCTGGGCACAAACATGCTCGTTGCTTCTCTGTGTTATCATGAAAGACCAGGTTGAGCAGGTGCTTTACGAGGACCATTTGTCTGCCGTAATAGCCGGTAATGCTCCTGCTCGGACTGTGCGAGGAGGCCAGCCAGTCGTCTAGTTAGGGTTGCCAGGCGAATACGCCCTAGTTGTCTCAACCGGAGGCTATCGCGGCTTCCGTACATTCGGTACAAAACAATCTTGGAGCGCTGAGAGAGCAGGCGACAGGCCGAAGGGAAGTAGGTACTCTGTATTCGTAAGCAGATCCGCCCTGAAATGGCGAGACCCTCAGATATTTTCCGTGTGTGGTAATATACTGGGAGGAATAATGGAAAGTACCGTGTCTTCTCAGGTCGACTGATGTAAACCCAGTCGTTTTGTCGCCACGGCACGAGACGCAGCAGCGATGCGTGAGTGAGCCATTCTGATTTGTATCTTTTTTAGATATTTGTTCAGAGCCCCTCCCCAAATCTAAGGTATTGGCCCGAATTCCGTTCCCTCCCGTTTGGGACGAGGAACTACTTGGAATAAAAGCTGCTCTGACTCCGCTCGGGCGGGTATTATAGATACTAGGGCTTCTTTTCTAGAAGCGAGAGGATCTCCCTCCTTTTCTAGAAAATGTGGGCTGACTGCCCCCTCGGGCTGTGAATAGCAGAACCGTCCCGAGAAAGCGAGGGGGGGGTGACAGTGGGTTGGAGACTGTAGCCGTGTTACTGTCTTGAAAACCGCAAGCGGACATTGTGAGCATCTTCGCAGCTATTATTCTCCGCTTAGAGTCAGCGGAGATTGTCCCAGCGTCTCCCTACCCCCTCAGAGTCTCCTAATTCTGTCGACAAATGGGGGTACCACGCCGTGTTCAGAGCACTAGAGGGCCCCAAACACACGAAAATAAGAGACTCTGAGGGTAGGCAGAGGCGTGCACATCTGCCCGCTGACTCCTAAGGGAAAATAGTGGAAGATGCTCACAATGTCGCGCTTTGGGTTTTCAAAGACAGTAAGCACGGGGCCCTACGCAGTCTCAAACCGCACTGCCAGCCCCCCCCCCCTCCGCTTTCTCCGGACGTTCTGTATTCACAGGCGGCCGAGGGAGTCAGCCCACATTTCTGAAG